TAAAAATTCAGATTTTGTAATCAGCTTGAACCTCTTGTTTTCACTTTTCTTTACATAATTCAATACAAAAACATAAATACTCTAAAATCCCATACTAACATATATATGCAAATAAAATCCAATGTTCTCATTCTAAACTCACTTTTATTATGGTCATGTTTATGTTTTTTTAATTGGTAACAATTTATGTCATAACGTTAAAATTAATCCCCTGTCAGAAGCACAGATTAAATAAAAAAGGGGATGGTGATGGGAATTGTGATCTCTTTGTCCTCCACACATACATACAGTTTTGCAAACTTTCAATTACATTTTGTTTTATAAGCAACATTTTTATGAAACACTTGCTGTCTCAGAGAAACTCTAGGTGACTTGATAATGGGGAAAAATCAAAGTGAGAGCAAGAAACATTATTCACAATTTGAATAGACCTATTAACACCACTGAGAGAATCTACAAAGCTGAATCATGGAATGGAATGGGCAATTAAGTTTGTCCCATGTTGAAGACCCCCTCCTCCCATCACACCCTAAATGAAGAAAAAGGTGCATAAATACAATCTGCCAAGAAGCAATTTTCACAATCTTCACAAATATTTCACAAAATATTTTTTAATTCATAGAAACTTACTATGCTTTCTTTTTTGTATCTAATGCAACCCACATGATGTTTCATAAAGATAGCTGTCAAAATCAAGTAAATCACAGCAAAAATTGTATGTAGCCAGAGAAGATTATTCCTGTGAAGTAGAATTATAAATGAAATAATTGGAGCAAAATATTTGCATTGATTACATTTATCATGGCCTCACTTATTTGCCTGGCTTTCTACTTATAGGATGCCTCTGCCTGACGTTTTCAGAGTTGCTTGTTCACCTCTGAGACACATTCAGCAAGTGCCCCTACAAGTAGTCCTTGACTGAAATTATGTCACTGTTGAAAAAAATAGACTCACTACCTGGCCTAGGTTATGGCTGTTGTACCGGCTTTACGATCAAAATTCAGACACATGGCGGCATAGTGCAAAGTTGTTACAACTTGGGAAGCCTCAGCTGCCCATTCAGTTTAGCAATGCAAGAGCACTGCAACTCCTCTGACCCATCTATGCCCCTCCTTTATGCTCATTTTTCTGCCCTGCACAACTGCACTTTTGATGGAAGAACTATGGCTGAAGTCAAGGCCTTTGGAGAAGACAGCTTTATGCCACACTGATGGGTCTGGTTGGTGGAGCAGAGGGGGGCTGATTTGCAGTGCCCCTATGGTCCTAAGTGTGGGCAGGCTGCCAAGCACCCAAATTTTAATCATGTGATTGTGTAGGTGCTTTAACGACAGTAATTTTTAGCCATGAGTTATAAGTCCATGTTTTTAATTTTGAACAGTAACCAAATGAATGATCAGAAGTCAAGGACTACTTGTATATATGTGATTCCTTAGTTTACTCAAAAAGTGTACAGCTCAGATTCAAATAGTATTTTTCCACTGGTAGCCCACTTAGTTAAACTCTTCATATACAGATAGCATATAGAAACAGCTATTTTACTCTTAGGCTTTGGGAATTACCATATTTTTCAGAGTATAAGACACACCTTTTTCCTTCAAAAAAAGAGGCTGAAAATCTGAGTGCGTCCTATATACTAAATACAGCATTTTTTGCCAGCCAAAACCCTGCCCCCTTCACCAAAATGGCCATGCATAGCTTTTAGGAGGCGTTCAGAGAGCTCCTGGGGGCTGGAGAGGGCACAAATAAGCAAAAAAGAGACTGTTTTTTGCTCAATTTTGCACCCCGCAGCCTCCAGGAGCACTCTACAAGCCTCCTAAATGCTATTCGTGCCTTTAAAAAAAACAACAAAAAAAAAAAAAACAGGCCTGTTTTGGGGAGATTTGCAGAGTGCAAAAACTTTTTTAAAAAATTTGTCTCTTCAAAACCTTGATGCGTCTTTTACTCCAGTGCGTCTTATACTCCGAAAAAATGGTACATTTTTCACATTTCATGACAATACATTCTAAGATTCAAAGATAATTCACTGATAACTGTGTAGTTATTACATTTTTGTTTTCAGTGCACATCTAGCACATCTTATTCTCTTCTACCAAATGATTAAAAAATATTGTCCAAACTGAAAAGTAAAGAATGTTCAAGGAAAGTATTCTGTGTATACATCTCATGATTACTTACCCTACTCGTAAGTTTGCTATAGTTGTTCTTCCAAAGCTATATGGATCTTTATCTAAAAGGCAGAAAATAATATTTTAAGTATGTTTTATTCATTTATTTGCAAATAATTATGGTAAGTGTTATACAAATACAGCAGCTTGGTTATCCTATTACTGCTGCTTATTAAGATAAACATAACATAAAATAGCTTCACTGAATCAAATCAAGAGTCATCTTAGTCTAATACAGAGGTTAACAGGATCTATCTAAAAGGAGAAAATGGATACAGGCCCTTATTTTGCCCTAGTCCCCTTGCTCCAATACAGAGACTAATACTCCATGATAGACCTGTCTTCTCTGAGCTTGTTCTAAATCTATTTCCAATTAACTTCATCAGATGATTCCTAGTCCTAGTGTTTTTAAAGAGAGACAAAAACAAATCTCGATTTTATGCTCACCTGACACCTTTTTTGCAAAGTGTACTCAGACATTCTAGCCTATCTGTAAGGAAGTGATTCAAACTCTCAGGCATACTGGTTGGCCTTTTCTACATTTTGTTCCAGCTCTATAATAGCATTGTTTTAAAAAAGTGATGAGAAATATAGATCATGTTCCAGACACAATTGCTCATCACATTTCTGTAATGGAACTATAATATTAGCAGTTCTATCTTCAATTCCTTTTGTAATGATTCCTACAATGGAATTTGCCTTTCATAATTAACCCTAACCCTTGTCAATATCTTCATTGAACTACTCACTGTGACTACCAGATTTAGATACTGATTACAGGTGGTCCTCAACTTACAACCATTCATTTATTGACCAAAGTTACAACAGCACTGAAAAGTGACTTGAGCAGTTTTCACACTTATGGCCATTGCAGCATCCCAATGGTCACATGATGAAAAATTGGATGCTTGACATCTGGTTCATATTTATGACAGTTGTAGTGTCCCAGGGTCATGGGATCACATTCGGTGACCTTCTGATAAGTAAAGTCAATGGGGAGGTCAGATTTACTTAATAATTGTTACTAATTTAACAACTGCAGTGATCCACTTAATAACTCTGGCAAGAAAGGTCATAAAACGGAGCAAAACTAATTTCACTCATACTTAGAAACAAACATTTTGGGCTTAATTGTGATTGTAAAGCGAGGACTAACTGTAGTTCCATGAAGCTCTGCCCCATCAATGTATATACAAAGTTTAGGGTTTTTTGTTCCATTATGCCTCAATTTTATACAATGAAAATGAACTTGCAAATTTGCTATTTGGCTGCTCATCCACTCCAATTAAAGTGATATTTCACAAGAGCTTCAAAATCATTTTTTTCTTTCAAATACTCTGAGTAGCCTGGTATCATTCACTCACTCGGATAGCTCATTGTTTATGTCTATTTATGATCAGAATTAAGCCTGGGTCCTTACACAAATAATTGAAGTACTCTACTTGTTACTAACCTCCAGAGATAAAACTGTGTATGCTTCTCTTTCTGGTCCCTAACAAGTAAGTAATCAATAAAAGGGCAGGCCCTATTAGCCTATGATCACTAGGTTAGTCAACCTTCTGACAAGATTTTATTAACAGCTTTTACAAAATTCAAATGCAGTATACTATGTTAACAGGATGATCTCCATTCAGGTGCCTGTTGACATTGTAAAAGAAAAAATTAGAAAATTGATAAAGCAGGATAACCTTTGCAGCATCCATGCTGACTTTCCTTCAGCAATACTAGTTCTTCTGCATGTTTATTTTTTCTTTGGTTTTCCATTTTTACCTACTTTTTCTAATACATGACTGTTACATTAACTTTCATCTCATCTTCAGCTCAAGATCAAGACCCAGTCATGTAATCCTTAGCAATATCAGCATTAAAATAGCATTTTCTCCTTATTTCTGTCCTGTGAAAGGGCAGCCATAAGTTATTGAAAACATGCTAGACTTTGACACCCATTATTTTGTAGAGAGATGAATTTAGTAACTTTATATAGAGATAATCTAGACAGAATAGAGATAACAATGCAGACAGGAAATATCATGCCAGTATAGTTTTTGCTGACTCAAAGGGGCAAAAAAAGTGCTTCGCAATGGGAAAGGAAACTGGTTAATTATAAGTATTGATATTATACAGTAGAAAAGTGCTAGTGACAAATACAGCAACCAACCCAATGTTCTACAATTAGTAAAAATCTAGAAAACAAAATGGAACTAAATTATAATACAGGGGATCAACTCCATCTAAATCAGTGGGTCTCAACCTTCCTAATGCTGCAACCCTTTAATACAGTTCCTCATGCTGTGGTGACCCAACCATAAAATTATTTTATGTTTTCTATATTTTTTCAAAAATATGTGTTTTCCGATGGTCTTAGGCAACCCCTGTGAAAGGGTTGTTCGACCTCCAAAGGGATCCCGACCCACAGGTTGAGAACCACTGATCTAAATTGTCCTTCTGGCAATTAATATGTGCATTTTAAAGTTTCAGGATTCTTCTAACAGCAGCATTATCATGGAACGTCATGTTGAAGAGAACACTGAATTAAATAGAAGGGAGTTTCTTGGTACCCATTTTCCCCTTAAGATTTATAGATGTCATTAGCCCTACATTTCTGTGTTCTTTCCTTGGAAAAAGTACAAATAACTGAATTTATACCAGCTGTCTCTTCCCCATACTGGAAAGAATCATATCTGTGTAGTGGAAAAGATAAACCCAGCACATTAAATGGTGACTATCCTCCTTCTCATCCCATCTCCCCTCTTCTTTTGGATATGACCAAGGTCAAACCCAGGATGTCTTTTTTGCCTAATCCTATCAGATTCAAACTGACTCTCTCTGTCCCAGAAAAAGCTCCTGCGCAGCCCCATCTAGACCAAAGAGTCGAAGCCTGTCTATCAGCTCACAGCATGGCTCAACAGCAAATAAGAAGCTGCAACCTAGAGAAATCCCAGCCTTCATATTCTGATCAGCTGATGACCTCAATATTCCATTTCCTTACAACGAACTTCCGCATCTCTGCTGTCCATTTGAAAGGTCCACTTTACCTACCAAGATAACTCACTCCAATTACAGAGACAAAGACCTGTCCAGCTTCTCCAAACTGGCCAGAAACCCTGCTTTGTGGCCCTCAACTTCAATTTTTTAAAAAAACTTTGCTTTCCCTTTGTTCAGGGTCTGTCTTTCTTGTAAAGCAGGTATCTAATTATCATTGCAATAAATATGGATCTCTTTCTTAGTGTTGTGCTTCTTACTTTGGCAAAATTATATGGCAATTGAACAATTGTGAAAATTATTCTGCAACTGAATAATTTTGCAACAGCTATATAATACTTTTTGAAACTTGGAAACAACGTTGTGAAAGAGAAACATTTTTTTCTCTCTTTATTCCGCCACTCTGTTCCCAAAGGATCAAGAATAAATGGAACACGAGGTCTCTAATAGTTTTATAGCTTTCTTTGAAGAGCAGAAATTGTGGATAAAGTCTCTCTCCATTAAGAATTACATCGACAATCCACCTAGACATATTACAATATAACATTCTGCAAATATCTCAATTCCTATGATGCTATCTAAGCAACTTTATGCAGAAATACTGGGGGGGGGGGACAATTTCACAAACAATTTCACAAAACCTGATCTAAAACATTATATTGTTAATAACAAACTATCTTGTTATACTTACTGATTTGTTACAACCTTGACAATCGTTATGCGTTGCAGAAAAAAAGAAACATATATTTTAACTTTGGCAGTTTCAGTTTCCTGAACTATTAGAAAAAGGCAAGAATAATATTTTTCAGGAAAATATAATCCTTTAATCCCAGACCTGTCTATATACTGAAAAAAGCTAAAGATGGGCTGTTCTAAATTCAAAGTTTTTCCATTTTAATATTGTCTTAAAATAAAAAGTCTGCTACAGTTTCTGTATTTGGAATGGACAAATTGACAGAATTCACTTATTTTCAATTATCAATAATTAGCCTACAGCCTAGGTTGTAATGATGGTGAATTGAGCATTTCAAGCAACTAACTTCTGAAATACAGGAGAACATTCCAGTTACTGAATGTCAATGTACATGTCCAAGTACATGCCTCTAAGCACAACTTGAAAGAAAACTAACATGTCATTACCAAAACAAATGTATCGTTCAATAAAGAATATACTATAAGTATGCTTTATACTTAAATAACTATATATTATTTCAGGAGATGAAAATCTAGTAAATTAAATTACAGAATAGGGTATTTTGATTATAAAAGATATACCATATTTTTCGCTCCATAAGATGCACCTGATCATAAGACATACATAGGTTTAGAGGAGGAAAACAAGACAAAAAGCTTTCAGGCGGAGCCTGAGAGGACTATAGATAGGTTTCCTCTCATGTGCCATCTCTGCCTAGTGATTCCTGAACTGCAGAAAAGAGACAAAAGAAGCAGGCAATGACAAAGACAGAAGAGGCAGAGTTCAGCAGCTTCAGCCAGCTGCTATTCACCAAAGCTACACAGACATTTCCACCCAAGTTTGGGGGGGAGAAAGTGCATCTTATGGAGTGAAAAATATGGTAATTCTCATTAGCTATTTCAGTAGTCTTATATGAATAATAGCGCTAATCTTCAAGGCAATTCAGGTAATACAGAACACTTCAAATGCTACAGTTAAATCAGATTGCTCTGTTTTGCACATATGCAATTCAAATCATAAAAAAAGTTTCTTACCAAGCAAGTCACCTGATAGGTTTGCAGGAAGTATAATACACAAAGACAACATGCTGACCACGATCAAGAGACCGATGAGATGGCGTTGAAAGGAGAGATAAGTAATGGCATCATGCCCACTTTGATCGTAAATCTCATCATCACTGCACCATAAATAAAGAGAAGTCTATCACCAAATTTGAAAGTTGTGTAACCATAAGGAAATTACTACATAGGAACAAATCAAAAGTGCTTGTGATATCTAATAAAATACTATAAAAATAATGGAAACATAAAAATGATCAGTAAATACTGTTCAAATTATTGCTTCTGATGTTATTTTAACAATCTTCTATTTTACATGCCTTCTGTATTCCAGCTACTTAGAAGCATGTTTGACAAGTATTCTTAACAGCTGTATTCGTTTTATGGAATGGTTTGTCCTGTGAATGCAATAGATTCTGCCTCCTCCTATTATTCTCTAAATACTATTTTATTTTAATAGACTTTTCTCCTATGTACCAAGAGTTTTAAATATTTTGGTTTTTATTTCTCAGTGATCCTTATTTAAAATTGCAGGGTTGTCACTGTAAATATAAATCATTTTAGAGAGTAGTAATGCTACTACATAACATATAAATTAATAATTCAGATGCAAGTAAAAGTGCATCTTTATAAAAAATTTGAGCCATTTTGCTCCTGCTTTTTAAAAAAATTAAACTTGTCAACCATTGTTCCATAGTAAATGAAAGTCTTCTTAAAATGCTGTTCTAGGTTAAAGTAGTCTTACATACTGAAGTAAAATAAAATTCCAATTTAAAACTGAACTACCTAATAGAATAATTAGGCTTAATCCTGTAAATTCAGAGAACTGATTGAATGCTATAAAACAGAAATGTCAATCAAATTTTAAAATATAGCATTTTAATAGTTGTTTTTCCTTAATGAAAAATGTAGCAATACTGATCATAGAATTTTCAATGAAATTTGAAGCTGATTCAGGACAGTTATTGCATTTCTATAGAACAAAATTAACCAAAGTACTTAACCATAAAACAGCACTTCTTGTTACAAAATCCAATGTCGCACATAGGTTTTATACTAATCAAGTATTCAAGTGTATATATATTACTAGATCTTTAATTATTCATTCCTTGAAAAATTATTATGTTTTAATCTGAGAGGAATCATAGCAGATTCATATTAGGAAAAACCTAAGTCTAAAATACAATAATTTAAAATTAACATCAAAACTATGAGTTGATAGTATGAAGAGCAATATGGTTTATTTAATAATTATGGTTCTTATTTACTGAATGCATAAAACTAATGCATAAAATGGTCAGCAAACAGGGCAATGAAATTGAGAAAAATACAAATTTTTTTTTATTTTCTTAAAAATATTAAACAAAATATTCAGATCACAACTTTTGTGCATACTTACTGCATGAGAAATGCAGAAAACATCCAAGAACAAAATCCCTAGAAATAAATATTTACAAAATTGTTATTTTGAAAATAAACCAGTCTTAGATACAACACAAAGCCTCGGGGTGAGATCATTCATCACAATGGGCTGAGGTATCTGCAGTATGCTGACAATATCCAACTCTATATTTCTACCCCAAGATATGCTGTTGCTGCCTTCTCACAGTGCCTGGAGACTGTGCAGGACTGGATGGGAGAACAACAGACCAAATGGCTCTGAGCATATGGAGCCTCAAGGTCTGAGACTTTGTCATCTTTAGTTCTGGATGGGGTGGCACTACCCCAGATAGATCCAGTTTGAAATTTGTGGGTTCTCCTGGTCTTGCGATCACAGCTAGGACAGCCTTTGCTGCACCAAATCCCTGTGCTCAATCATTCAAGCCTTAGTCATCTCACAGTTGGACTATTGCAAACGCTCTACATGGGGCTATCATTGAAGAGCATTCAGAAGATACAGCTGGTGCAGAGTGTGACTTGCATTGGCTACTGGTTTGTTTCTGATGTAATTCAAGGTGATGGTAATCACCTTTAAAACCTTCCTGGCATCCGTCCAGGCTACTTGAGGGATCGCCTCACCCCACTGGGATTGCCCTGCCTTCCCCCTCGATGCCAGCAGAGGAGGCATGCTGCATTCTCCATCAGCTGGGGTATTCTGTTGGGATCCAGAAAATCCTTCTCTGCTACTGCATTTTGGAACATCTTGGCCCTCAGAGTGAGGTTGGCTCCAACCCTCCTGGCCTTCCACAAAAACTTAGATCTGGCTCTGCCAGTTGACTTGAGGCTCCAATGGAGGGGTTTCACATTGGGAGAGATTGATATATTAATAATAGATCCCACTTCACTCCCTTCTCATCCTACTCATCCTACTCCCTCCCTCCCCATCTTTTAGTTAGGGCTCAGTTTTATCTTTTTAATATTTAGGTATTTAGGTATTTATTGGGATTTATATGCCGCCCTTTTCCCTGAGGGGACTCAGGGAAAATATTGTAAGTTGCCAAGAATTACTCGATGGTAAGATGGGTGGCCGATAAATTTTACAAATAAAATAAAAATAATTATTAGCAGTAATCCTGTTGCAAAATGTGACTCTCACTTGCTCTTTCCAGCTACAATTGTAGTATGCTCTAGGCCAGAGGTGTCAAACTCATGGCCCGTAGGCTAGATGCATCGCCTGATCACGCTCACCCCCACTTTAGCGAAGGGGGAAAAGTCACAATACGTCATGTGACAACATGACGACGCAGGTTTCACACCCGTTTGAGGCAATTTAAATTCTGCACTTCTCAAACAAGGGAATTGAAGTGACCCAAACTGGCATCAGGAAATTTTAAAAAAACAAACTTTATGAATTGGTGGTACCAAAGATCCCTGTAAATTGTCTTTTATGACCATTTAGGAATAAGTGAAGTAATATTCTTGGATCATTCTTACCTGTCCAATATTTAAGAGTTGTCAAATGGAAGTTTGACACTTCCTGAATTTAAAATCTTTAGTGAAATGGAAAACACCAAAAAGATGGGATTGCCCCAGTAATTACACAGTAAATCTAATAAAATAATTGGCTTGATATAGTCTATAATGGTGTCTCCCATTTCTCTAACTGCAAAGAGAGTGCCGTTTATTCCATATTTTAATACATATTCCTCAGAGTCAACAGGATCTGAGGGAGAGATTAATTGCAAATGCAACAATTATGATGTGAAACAGTCACAATCATTATTGGATAAATATACTTACAATGTTTATATTATTTTAGAGGAAAATCATAAAATGGTATTCATTTTACTTAATATTTCAACCATTTTATGATTTAAAATAAGTGGATCTCTCCACTTCCTGAACGTGCAATTCCTTTTGTGGATCACATTAAATCTTCTTTCGATACCAATGATCTAACCATTTCAAGGAGAGAAATACTGGCAATTTTTCAGAAGTGAATCCTGTAGGCTGGAAGTAATTTGTGCTATTGCAGACACAATAGTCTACTGTGGGGACAGACCATTGTGGAACATTTAATATTGCCTCCAGTTTAGAAGATTTGATTCC